TAGTTGTTAAGGTTCAGTGAACATGACCCGATGCCAACAAGGTAGAAGTTCAATGGACCTTAACATCATCATCATAAACGTAATTAAACTAAACTAAATAGCGGATAGGACCGTTGTCATTGTTAAGAACAATTTGTTTATTTTTATAAATATATAAACTTTCAAAACTGTCTAGTAAACGATTATTCCTAACTTCTTTAACTAACTTAAGGTTATTAATATTAATATTATGTCCATCAGTAACAATATGTTGGGCAACACTAGATTTTTCTTCTCTACCAAACCTAGCATGAGCTAGATGTTCTTTAAATCTGGTTTTGATTGAACGTCTAGTTTGTCCAATATATTTTTTACTACAGTCATTACAACTAATTTCATATATCCCCGACTTTTCGTGTTTTGGCGTTGGGGTTTTGAGCTATTCTGTTTGTTCTACAAGTTAAAAATGAATTTAATCGACAGGCTTAAAGCCTATTTTGTGATCAATACAATTTACTGCTTTTTGGACTAAACAAAGCACTGAAACCGCCACTAAATTTCAGATACCAACGAAATGTGAATCTCTTATTCATTTTATTTGTTTGTTACGATTCAGATAAAGATACTGCGATATTTCTTCATCTCTTTGTTGTTTACAGTAGGAAAGACCTTCGAACTACATAATATGTTAGTATCAAGCAGTAAATTGCGATATAAAGACGCACCTGTGCTTTAATTGACGGCAAATATACCTATCATATAGATACTTTCACTATGTTAATCCAGTATAAAACAGAATCATTATCAAGATTATTATATAAAAGAATTAATGATGTTGTCGCAGACTATTAATAAACATTAAGGCATTAAAAATAAATCTTAAACTTTGAACAAATGCGTAACCAAGGAAGACTTAGGGAGACCAGAGCTCAGTTACGAGGGTGAAATAATAAATTTATGGTCTAATACGTTAAGAGCAAGTCCAATTTTGTACCTATAGTAAATTCTATAACACTACATGTATTTTGTTAGCTTGTAAAATTATTCTGTCAGTATTTATTGGACCAGTATGTAATAATTCTTCTTAATTTAGATACTTTTCAAATGCTGCAGTCAATAATATAATTACTACGAATCATTATTACTTTATTAATACTACACTTGTTAGTAATGACGTTATTACGATCATTAGCTTTTTGAAATTGAGAGGTATATCACAATAGCCCACAATTAACGTGCCCCTTTCTTGAATAGGGTTTATATCTACTGGAAGTGTATAATAACTAATAAAAAGAACTTTTATTATCGTGGTAAATGTTCTTTTATTAAATTTACATGCTCTACCCGTTTAAATCAGCGGGTGTTCTTATTATATCCATGGTAATTTTGCGATTAAATGCCAGAAAAGAGTGACACTTAAAACCTTTATTGGCAAAACACAAAAAATAAGGATTACGAAAACTATTTGTTTGCCTACGAAGTTGATTGTTTATCTCACGATGATTATTACTAAAATGTATAAAAGGTTTAATGCAAGGGCTACAATAAAACAAGTGGTCCGTATTCTGTCGAAACTGCCAGACGATTTATTCGATTATGGTAACGTGCCTACCACGTTGGGGTGAGTTTCGCCGGGATTCGTTTCAGCAAGTAGATATCCATATATTTAAATGGGCCTTGTTGGAGCATACGTAATCTCAAAATGTAGCACTGTACTACAGATGGCGTTTACAGCGCCATTTGTCGTATTTTCTAAGGGCTACAATAATAGGGAATAAGAAATAAGTAGGTACTTAACTTTACCTTTTACGTGTTTTATTCCTATAAGCTACTAATTCCCATGGATCAAACAGAAGAGAAAAAACTGGAAGATAGGGATGAAGGCTCTCTTTGGGAATCGTAAGAATAGGTGATTGGTGGTTGTGGATGAAAAGATAAGACGGATGAAAAGATGTGAAACATTTATTTGAATAACGGCATGTTCCGGCGTTTTTTCCCTCCCGTCACGCACTCTATAAGTCCATTCCCTGTATCTCTTTTTAAACGGCCTCCCTATATTCCCACATTTCCTAATTACCTTTCACTCTGGCCATTCGGCTCAAATAATCTGCCCCAGACCCCACCGGTGCCAATTCCCTATACGACGAACCCAAGATTGCTCCCTGTTCCTTGTTTAATTGTTTCACCCACCACATGTCTAAACAATATTTAAGGAAATGAAAAATCTCCTTAGTCTTCAACCTCATTTCGAAGGGTTGTTACACAAAACAGTTCTCATTTCTTCCCCTAAACAAATTTTTGGTCTTCTGTTACTTGGCATTTCTGGAATATCCTTAAAATAACTAAATACGCGTTCCTTTACCTTCTACTATAAATCTATTAGATAATTCCAGTTTCTATAAATGTCTCGTACTCTATTCATTCGTAATCTTCAATAATATAATGTCACCACTCTCACTAAAGTGTGCATCAAATAAATACGGTCTTCCCATTCTATCTCTTTCTGTTATTATCAAGAGTCCCCATATCCGTTATTGGATGCCATTTAAGGCACTGCCGCCATTTTGTCCATATACCTTTCTGTGCTATTTTTTATAGAAAAATAACCTGAATATTTAAATCTGTTTAATACTTTCGCCATTCATCTTCCACGTCACATTCTTAGTTCTTTATCAGAATACAACGATCATTATACAAAACCCCAACTGTTACGATAAAAAGCATTAAACTTTTCATATGTTTTATTAAATTAATCACGTCTAACTAGATGGTTACCTATCATTTCAAATTCTTTCCTTATGACTATACTTGAAATGATATAACTCCTTTGTTCGTTCGTTAAGCCATAACCATTTTGAATGCTTTTTTATTCGGTGCAACCTCAATACACTTTTACGTTTTGTCTGATGCAATTCGTCCAATTATAACAACTCTCAAGTTCAGTACCATATAAGGTAAATTATACTCAACTTTTATTTTTATATTGGAATGTATTTAAGCAGTTTCATAATTTCGCATGTGCCGTGGCATTTTAATTAAAAAAAAGGTAATAATAATAATTTAACGGAGTAAAGGTGGACATACAACTTTCATTTTCGAAAAATCACTCTAAGGCAAATTTGTCTTTTGAGATTATTGAAGAAATGAACAGAGGGCAAATTTGCATTCGGGTGGTTGTTTTTCAGTTTCCAATCATTTAAGAATCGATGTTTAAAAATTAACCAATTCACTAGAACCCTCTTTGTCGCTGCTATTAAAACAAAAGTTTAATCTACCACATTTAAGCAACTTTACAATTTTTAATTGTTAATAATATCTATCTTAAATTTTTGCAAAAAAAACGAATTTCTGGTAAACGCTAGAAAAAAATAATAGTGTGTATGTTTAATAAACAAGAATGTGATCATGAACCACCTTAAAATGAACATTTTTTTCTAACCAACGACTGACATTGACTTTTGATTTAATAACACACGTAATAGTAAAACAATCGATTAATGATACAACACAGTTAATAGAAATAGTTTTAATAACTACTCATTGCATCCTTTTTAACGGTAACTATTAAATATAATTGCAATTCCAACGTAATTCGAATTTGCATTTCGTCAGCCGCTTCTGGCACTATTTTCTTTTTTTTCGTTTCGATGGATAGGATAATTCTAAGATTAAATGATACATTGTACTGTTACTTAAATTACTTTCTGTGATGTAATAAACACAAAATGCAATATGTCAGGAAGTATGCTACATTAATTTGAAAGTCTTTTTTAAGATACGATTAGACAAAGTATTAGTAGTAACTATTTCCTTCAAAAATACAATGTTGTTCAATGTAAAGTATGTTCTTTTACGATAACATAATATGTACATATGATGTAAGCATATATCAATATTGTAATTGTCTAAGCTAAAAAGCAACCAAATTTTGAAGACTGAATTTGGCTATGAAATACACGCTAACAAATCTGCATTTTATTTCTTTTTTTGCAGAAATCTGAAGAAAATGTTATGGCATATACTTAATTGGGACATCACAGTTCTTATTTATTATAAATTTATATTTTAATTTATTTAAATTTCGCAATCNTTATTTATAAAGTTTATCTTAAAGAATGTATTTTTAAAATATAATGTTAAATTACTAATGAAATATTTTACTCTTATCCTTTTACAACCCCAAAGTTATAATTACATACATACGTAACATGAACATATGCATGAGAATACTGAAATGTGTTAGTGCTCACACGTTTATAGTACCAAAAATACTTTACATATTTTAAATAATTTTACAAGAACAAATGCAGCGACAATTTGAAAAAAATTAATAAAAACAGCATAAATTGTATGTACCATGATTTGAAATTATTTCATATTTCGATGTAGTGGCGCCACCTAACCAAATTATCGTAATTTGTTAAAATATACTTCAGTATAAGGGCGACACCTTTCAACTGCTGCTAATACTACTTTTAAAAAAAAACGCCGGGAATGTGATAGGAACAATTTTAAATTGATTGTTTTCTATATTTTATAATAAATATATATTGTAAAAGCACAAAGAACCTTTTTTTAAATCACTTGGAACTTAAGCTTCGAATAAATAACTAATATTCCATTAAAACTAATGTTTTTTCTCAAAAAGTATGCCTCACTTTCAAACTTGCAACATTATTATTTTAAAACATTAATTCAAACTTTATTTTTCGTTGATAATATGATATTGGAAGTATCATTAGCAATCTAAACTGTATTTATAATTAAATAAATGTGTTGAAAGTGATACTTCGGTACTTATCGCATAATGTGCACTTAGAAATGTTCTAAACATTGAAAATTCTTTTTTTAAGTTTTTAAATCAGTAAAGAAATGTTATATAGTTAGATTAAGAAATAAAAACAAATCCAAATCCGTGTAATAAAAATAACTTTATTTTTTTATAAGTATATAAGNTTTATTTGGTACTTACCAAAGAAATTAATTTTAAAAACAATACATTCATATTTAACATAAAAATCATCATAATAACCATTATTACTATTATAAGAAAATATAAAACTAGGAATGTTTCAACAAAACAAAATTTCGCCTTATCAAATACACAGCAAACATTACTTTACTCTGTATTTCAATAAAGTTCTTGTAAACTTTGTAAAGTTTTCTTTATCAAGTCCTGCTGAGTACGTGCGTGTTTTATCTCCAATTCAGCTAATTCTATTAAACTGAAACATAATAATTTGTACTATAACAAATACTTTACAGTTATTTTATAAAACATACAACAAATTTACTGTTATTATCGTAATAATTCAATCAGAATCCAAAGGGCAATAAACATACAGAATACCCTCCCCCGGGAATAAAACAGATTTAATTTCTCATTATCAAAGTGTATAATTAGCAATTATCACCGATTGACTTTCAATAGCTCCCCAAGGATATTTGATAAAAACTTTAAAAACTCATTATGCAATAACAGTCAAATTCTACAGAAGGGAAAATTATTTAAAACAATTATAATGAATACCTTTTTCGAAATGCATGTAAACGCCTAGTTTTGAAATCTAAAAGTTCCTCCTTAGCTTGAGCTGAAATTGATTCAAACTGTTCACAGGCTTGGTGTTGAGCTTGTTCAGCCTAAATTAAAAAATGTTCACATTAACAAGCAATTAACGTATGTTTTATAACATTCATTAATTAACCAAAGTTTACCTCTTGAATTTCTGGAGCCTGATAGCACAAAAAATTAGAATAAATATAATACCCAGTGAGTTGTATTTGATTAAAACAAATTTAGAAGAAACTGAAGATGGAGTAATTTCAAAATGTTATTAATTCGTTTTTAAAAATATGTTCTTATTGTGATATACTTTGACTGAATAATACCAATAGTAGTGCAATAATGTAAATTACACAATCTCTCTAGCATTATTATGATCCTACGATTCATAAAAATTTAATTGAAAATGTACTTTTGGTTGTTCATGTTCATGTTCATTGAAATTACCTACTCCAGTCCCACCTTAATATTGAAATATAAAACTTACAGCATGGATGTCCTTATTTTTATGTCTAGCCTTTTCAAGAGCCCTGTTAGCAGCTTCATAATTTGCTAAACATTTAAGACGTCTTACTAATAAAGACTTTGCAGCCTGACTGTCTCTCATATAATACCGTAGTGTATCAGCTAATTTCAGATCTTCATCACTGGCAATTCTACTTTCAATTTTCTAAAAATTTGTATAAGAAATCTTTAGAAGTACTTAAAATTACTTCCTTACCCTAGCTCTTTCAAAATAATCAGCTATTCTTGCGAAAAACCTATCCAAAGGACCAGGATCTATATTTGGTAACTGTAAAATTCCTGATGATATTTTTATATAACTATCTGCTACTTCTAAAAAAAATAAAATAAAACATTAATTAACACCTCATTAAATTTCCAAAATACAATTTTCAAACAACCTTTGTGTTTTTCAGTCATTTTATCAGTTCGAGATGTAGCTTCTTTTAAATGCCCATGGTATTCTGTAATAGAATTCATTTGCTGTTCAAAAAAATCATTTACATCTCTGACTGTGGCTCCTAAGTAGTACTGATCTGTTGTGGAACCCAGGGATTTAACTATACCCCCTAACTGCTGGAAACGCCCCTTTGGACGAGCACAAAGGTCCTGATCATACTCCAAAAATACATGTAAATGGGAATCTTCTCGAAATACTGAATGGCTAGCTAAACGAGTCAAAAACACTTCGTGCATTGCTACTGTTTTTTTGAATGTTGCTAAATATTCACTGAAAGTTCTATGTTTAATAGCAATTACTGAAATTAGGAATTAAACTCACGCTTCTAGCTCTTGCTTCATTTTTGTAAATTCTTCTTTTGTCATGGTACCTTCACCCTCACCTAAACGTTGCAGCTTTTCCCTAGATGCATCGAAATTAGGTCGGGGCGGCGGGGGTGGTATCTTCAATGAATACTATGTGATTTCTATCATAAAACTTGTATAAAACACTCACTATGTATCCTGCATATTTTTCATTTTCTTCATAACGATCATGTAACCAAATAAACTCTTCATGCTGGCGTACAACTAAAAACTCAGGTTTTTGAAAGTGTTTGAGGGTTGTACGAGTATGTACTGTGAATTTAACTTTATCTTTTTCACTCAAGGCGTCTGATATATCAACTATTAAGCTGTTATCTGTTAGCGGAACATTGTTTCCGTCTTCTGGAGTTACTTTCTCCGTCTAAAACAAATAACTAATAAAACGGGAGCAAAATGCCGTAAAGAGAATATAATTAGGTTATGTACAAATTGAAAACCGCCCCTTTACATCAGTCAAAAATAATTGCATAAATCTTTTTTTAACTAAACTTTTACATTTAGAAACTTACCATTCTTAAACTAAATATGTGACACTTAAATTTATAAAGTCCATTAAAAAATTAACTTTTCGGCAAACTAACAAAACTCAAAGATTGTCACATTGACTGACGCAAAGCAATGGCACAGATAGATAATAGAGCAATGGTGAAACAGTACGACCAATGTTGAGAAGTTGAAATAATATCTAGGTGTATTTCGTCTTTTTTACTAAAAGAAAATTAATATGAGTATCATTTTGTCCATTACTAATAAAATTTCTTAATTTTCTTCAACAAATATATTTATTAAGCTTGTTTTTCATGTTTTAAAGAAATTATTTATAAGATTTTCCATTTGTGCGATTGGTCATTCCAGTCCGTAGCCATAGATAAGATAAAAGGTCTACTAATGATCTTTGAATGATTTGACTGATTTAGCCATTGCATACTTCTTCTTTATAGAAACTCCAAATAATTTATTATAAGTA